TAGAACTGAAACATGTAGTGTAAAAGATGATGCTCTAATGTAAATCGAACATTTCGATAGAGAGCATCATTTTAATATATTTTAAATATTTAAATGTTAATTGTAATAATATTTTAATATTTAATAATAATATTTTATTGTGATTAGACTGATAAAATTGAACAAGTAAAAAAAAAGTTGATTAAAAAAATGAGGGAAACCTACTAATGAAACCCAAATATGTTATGTGGCAATAGTACTCAGAAGTCTGAACGAGTTCCATGTTAGTATTATTGATTATAGGAAATTAAGGCATAATAATGACAACTGGTTAAAAATTATTCTAAGAGATAGACACACACAAAGACAGATGCAGGCATAAATTCACACACACACACATGGTGATACAAAAAGCCTATTCTTCTTCATATAATAAAGGAAAGCAGGCTTTATTTCATAACCATCTGGAGATTCATACCCTTTGAGTGAAGCAGAGAGCAACCAGTTCTGTGTTGGAGATGCAGTTTTCTAAGTCCCGTAGAAATAATTCACTGTGGAAGTTGAATATTTCTTCCAAGTTTCCGAACAGCACATCTGCCTTGCCAGTCAGGACTGGCGGGACCAGTGACTGCATTTCACTTGACTGAAGTTCACACTTATAACCCTGTTCATCAAAGCAACAAAGTTTCAAAATACCAATGTCATTTTACCTATCCACAGTTATGATAAGACACAAACATCTTTCTCTGGTGTAAGACTTGAGGTTCTCACAGCGGTGAGTATGAAGATATCCGTCTTCTGGGTTATTGCGCTGTGTAGTCTGGTCGATGTTAGCCAACGTTTCAGAGGTCATACTGCCTCCGTCATCAGGGCGATGAATACAACTAAAATCACCTTTCTCTCTCTACTTTCTCTCCCTCTCCCACTCTCGCCCACGTGCTACCATTGGTCCACTCCCATACCTGCTCCCATTGGCTCGGGGCAGGCTACACCTTTCACTTCCCAGCCTATAAACCCAGCACCTCACACCCTATTGGCTTATTCATCGCCCTGATGACGGAGGCAGTATGACCTCTGAAACGTTGGTTAACATCGACCAGACTACACAGCGCAATAACCTAGAAGACGGATATCTTCATACTCACCGCTGTGAGAACCTCAAGTCTTACATAATTAAAGTAGTTCCCATGTCCTGCGTAATGATATTTGTAGACATGTGATATTATTGAGTTAATTCTCTGGTGACTGTTAGCCAGATACAAAAATAGTGCAAAGTTTTCCTGATAGGCCTGGGAGTTAAAGGTTCTCTTGGACTTCCCTCGTGGCATACTTTAAAACAAAACTAACAAACAATGGAAATAAAGTAGTTTGTCATTTCAAATCGGATCAAAAACAACCTGTATCATGCAAATGTTTACCTACACAAACTTTACTACAGGTTTCATTCCTTTCAAGCATAAAAATAACTGATGTACTCTATCATTGTACGTCCATCTTTTTAATACTCACCGCAAAACCTAATTGGTCGCTGACCTACTCATATACATTCTATTTACTTTTGTTTTTCAGCACTGCACTGACCTTAATCAAAGACCCTAATTCACTGACATAAACCCTCTCTGTCTCAAATAATTCTGCTAGGACGTGGCCACGTTTAGTTTTTAACATCTCCAGATCCTGGGTAGATGTCTCGCTGTCTGGAGATGACTCTGTTATATCACATGTTTCGGTCTTGACAGCTTGAGCATGCCACATTTCTGACGGAACCTCAATCTGTAAGAGAAATATAAAGTTTATTTTATGGTGCTTGGTCAACTGCGAAATAACCAAATGATTATGAACAATAAGTACAAGAGTAAGGAAGGAGGTAACTGAGACCTACTGGTACTCCATCTTGCCTGAAAAGACTGTGGAAAAAAGTGAAAAATGTCAGCCACAAGGTAGCTGGTCTCTACACTGAGATTAAAACAGTGATATTAGTTGTACACTTGTTTATGGAACAAAATCATAAAACAAGAAAACTAAAGAATCAACAATTAAGTTGTTTTGTTAAGTTATTCATTCACTTTCTAAATCTTGTCAGCTGCTGTGGGTATGTAGCACAGAGAGATAACACAGAAGGCTTACGAATGATGAATCAGGATGGATGTGAGAGGTTAGACATTACCTTCACATTTACCTGGAATGACTAAAGAAAACTGCAAGAAAATCTCACTTAAGACAGATGGTGCCTTGAGTGAGGCTTCAACTGGATAGTTTGTAAATAAAAATCAAGTGTTTTCGTGCTGATACAACCTGCTCGATTCCAATGGTCTCATTCCAGTTCCATTATTCTACTGTTTTAATGTTTTGTTTTGTTTCTTGGTTTACATAATAGCACTTTGCCAAGTGAACAGATTATACAGCATCAAACTGTAACATATTGTTAATTATGTGAAATAAAGCATAAAGTACTATCCCCACATCTGTATGGATGGGATGAAGAAAAACACAAAGTATCATGATGCAGGATGCCCGGTCTGCAATCAGGTTTTGAACAGGGTACCTTGTGAATGCAAGTCAAACCTGTTATGAATCTGCCAGTCCACTGGGTAAACTAATGTTGTGCACAGGAAAAACACCACTGAATAAATAAGACCATAATTGTGATGATCGTATAATTTGTGCTCTTGAAAAGCATACACAAAATATAAGCAATGATTGTGTATGCTCATGTATTATGAAGTTTGTAACAAATTCTGCTAATTGATGCAACTCATTTTGCATTCACACAGGAAGCCAGGTTGATTAGTAGGTAGTGGGTGTTAAAAACAGTGAACAAATCAGGCAAGAAATAGTTTCAGATAAAGTTAAACTAAAATCTGTATCACCTGTTAAGAATTTTATAATTTTATGTTCATCACAACAACGTAATCCAAGACAAAAATGTCTAACACACAATTTACAGATCTGTTAATATGTTTCTATGAAAAGTTTACATGTCATATTACAAAATTCTTTATTAAAAATATATTAAAAATTTTTGCCGTCAATCACAATTATAATAATGTTAAAAGATTAAAACATCATTTAACGTTCCCCATCGAGTACTCGATTACAATAGGAACTTACACGACTAGTTTCGGCTATAATTTAGCCATCAACGGGTGTTATGTAGTTTAAACTTATCACTGAATTACTGATTTTTATAGTTTTTTATGATTTACAGTCTTCATTTTTTGATGATGTTCTTGTTCATTTATATTGTTTCTTCGTTCGTTGCACTATCACAGGTCACTATTAGGTTTGTACTTCGTGATTGATGGCAAACATTTTTAATATATTTTTAATACTTATGAATCACAATATGACGCATTTACAATATCTTAAAATTCTTTATATCAAAATATTTTCCATTTACATAAAAAAATATCAAATTTAAGAGAAATGAAGGAACAGGAGAATGGAAACAGTTACACAATGATGAGCTCCATAATACTTATGGAAAATGTAAGTAACAATGAGCAGAATGTATTAAAATTGATCTTAGAAAAATTGTGCGTAAAGATGAGAAATGAAATGAACAAAGCAGAATTTAAGGTTTTCATGGCAGTGAGTCTGAAGATGGCTTTCTTCTGGGTTGTAGCACCTTGTAGTCTGGTAGACATATACCAACGTTTTAGAGGTCCTCACTGTCACAGCTAAAGACAGCATGAACCTGGGCCACTGCATTCAACTCTGGAACACCACAACCCTGTCCACCAAATCCAGATACGTGGATCAGATAATCAGGAAGGCCATCAAGATTAAGCTACATACAAACGATATAAACAGGGAGGATGGCCTTCACCTGGGCTGGTCATGGAAGCCCCTTATCTACTCCCTCAAAGGATGTACAAAGCATATGATACAGTATTGCCAGTCCCGACCAGGCTATTAACTATCCTTTTCAGGTGATACAACCCAGCCCCAGCAAGTCCTTATTTCCACTGTCCCTGTTCCTCCTCATCCAATCCACCCACCTCCCCTATGTCCAGTGATTGACCTACTGGACAATGAGGGGCCCTTATAAAGGCTGCTTTCTTGGATCTCTCTCTCTATGTCTTTAGCCCTCCTGCTGGGAGGGGGTGTGGCATGACCCTCCCCACTCCTATTTGTTTCCAGGTCTTTGCCCAATCCTGACACCACTCCCCACAGATTACTTATTGTCCTGATGATGGAGGCAGCAAAGACCTCTGAAACACTGGCAAACTTCTACCAGACACTACAACCCAGAAGACAGCCATCTTCCTGAACTGAACTAAGTCTTCATATGGGTTAACGGTGGTCATTTGTGTACATGGCAAAGATTCCTCGGTTTTCTAACAGAAACCTTAATCAGCTGAATAAATTTCAAGACCTCAATGAAGAATGTGTGCACAATGAAGCTGACAGAAGATGTCACATATACCTTTGGGAGAGTGTTAGCCTTCTTAAACACCTTGTTGTTTGTTTTTCCATGACTGTGTATATGATGCGGAGCCCCACTAGAAGGTTGCTGGAAAGGAATGGCAGGCTCGGGCGTTACCGTCTGCACTGGTCTTGGAAGCTTCAGAGTCAGGCGTTTCAGACTTGTCATCCTCTTTTCACACATCACAGACACATCATCTATTCTTTGCAGCACCTGTAAAACAACGACTCTGCAAGTACAAGTGAGAAGACTGACTCATTCTATAGCTTCTTCAGAGCACTGTTCCAATTTTGAAGATTATATATTGTCAGATGAGATAATAAAATGGTCATGAACGGTGGATAGGTAAAGATTTGGAATGAGGTGACTGAGGTCTAACTAGGCTTCACATTGAGATGAGAAAAACCATGCCAACCCTCAATCAGAATATCTGACTACAATTTGTAGTGGGTAACTACTGAGTGCTAGTCTACAGCATCACCATGACACCATCAGTATACTTGGAAGATGAAGGCTTTACTGAGAACAAATATAAAATAATTATGAAACATAACATCAGAGATCTAAGGTTCTTGCAGTACAGTAGATTTGAACAGTGGTCTTCTGGACTGATGCCATGTGGTCTTGTGGTTGGTAACCAACATTTCAAAGGAACCCTGGTAGCCATCTACAGACCACATTTATTATTATTATTTATTTAGTGTTCTGTCTGACGACAGGTCCATATGAACAGGATCCTTCCATCCTTTTCTCGGACTGGGACCTGTTCATATACGTTCTTGGCAGATGATCCAGAAGTGGTTTGCCATTGCCTTCTTCTGTGTGTGAATGGAGTAATTGTTGGGATGCCACGGAGGAAAACTCCGTGTTGCCTAGACCACGGCCTTGCCCAACACAAGTTATAAATTCGGGCACCAATAAACAATAAATTTAAGAAGATATGGAAGTAAGCAGTCATGGCCTAATTTAAGGTAATACCATTGCATCTGCCTGGAGGGACTGAGGAAATCAGAAAAAAACCTTAGTCAGGACAGCTGGTCTCCATGCTGAGACTTGAACCCGGAAACTCCTGTATATGTAGCAGGAGTGCTAACCACTCAAACAAAATGTTTGGAGATTATACTACATATAGTACAGGGTTTAAATAAAGAAGGTAGAAAGGATGATCATGAAGTGTTATATCAGAGGGGTCACATTTCATTAGAAACACATCCTGTTTCACTAACCTGCGTCACAAGAGCTTTAGTTTCTGGAGTAACTGAGTCTTGGAAAAGGGAACGGAACTCCTTGGGACTGCCAAGTTTGAACTCATCAGCACTAGACACATATTGCTGAATTTCCATCAAGGACTGCTCAGCAAGCTCTGAAGAATTAGAACACTTCTCGATGTGCTGAGATGCTAACAGATCTATCCCTCGTGCACACCACCTATTCGCCTGAAATAATGTGTAAGTCACAGGATTCAAACCAACTGTATATAATTTCTTTGTTTTACTGAATATTTTTTGTGACTCCTCATAAAATTATTCACTTAACACACTGAAATACTCAAGTACTTATAACACTGAATTTATGACCGTAACATTAATGTTAAGATTATGTAAGAGGAAAATAAGATTAGTTTTGAAATATCAACACTTTTAGAACAGTCAGGCATCCATTCCCTTATATTAACTCACACAGTCAAAACTGTACAGTATAAAGATCTATTTCTGTAACATAAATATAGCTTGTATGTATTTGTAATTGTTAATTAAGAAGTAAACTTAATATGGTTTATACAAATCTAAACAAAAAGTTACATTTACCAAATTTAGGGGTAAAGTAGCTGTATCAATTGTAGTTTAATTTATTGGGAAGATAATGGACATGAACCGACGCATATATGGTAAAATCACAAAATTTCCCTGGAAAAATTATCAAACACACACAAACATACACAAAAACTTACAATAAATACCTGCTTTCACAGTAATAGAATCTGAAGTTTCAATATTGTAAATATCAAAATCTATCACTGCACACAACAGTAACACATTTCACTCAATCCATAACAACATTCTGTCATCCATGAATGGTTCAAGGATCACAATTCAGAAAGACAAACATCATTCACACTTTTAATTAATGGTGGTAGCCTACTTCAGAGTGCTATTCCAGCAACTCCTGGAATGCTAGGTGGTGAGACGGTGGGGGTTTTCAGCCAAATATTTGAATTGGATACTTCCTTAAATAAAAGTCCTGTGCAATACTGCCATACCAACCTATTTGGTAGTCACCCTAACAATATTAACTCATAGGAGTACAAATTATGAAAATCATTCTTGGTTACTTTAAAGTTTCTACAATGAAGGAAACTCTCGCTCTCAGGCACCTTGTCTATTCGCTCTTGAAGATCCCTGCACTTGGATAATGTATTGAGGCGACTTTCAAGACGTTCTGACAACAGCTGACACATTCGCTGCAGCTCAGTGCACTTGGGTTGGACACAGTCGAGGGCACAATAGTGGCGACTATGCAGCAGCTGCTGTCCGCTTGAAACCAGCTCCTCTGCTCTCTCAATATCACTCTGAAACACAATATTAGGATAATGTTATCCCTAGCCTTCATCTCCATTCAGTATTCTGTGACAAGTACTTGCTTCTCAGCATGATGACTCTCATAAATTATATCAAGGAAAAATGTTTGACAAAATTCGTAACTTGTACATATCTGCCATACACTACAGCAACCTAATTAGATACGCAAAATAAAATAATCTGAGGATTTGAATTTTTGAAAAAGTAGCATTACTGACAAGGACTTCAAACTTGTCTATTATAAAAATTTGTGATTCCTCGTTGTCGTCAATAAATTACGTCATCAACAATGCCGAGTATAAACAAACTCAGCATTGTTGTGGAACACGACAATGCCGAGTTTAGTGTCTTACTCAAGATTTTAAAACGCAACCAACCCCCCCGAAAGGGGGTTGGTTGCTTTTTAAACACTTGATCAAGCTCCC